ACTGAGCCATAAAGAAGAATGACTTTGATATTTGCTGATGAATTTGAGGATCTGGAGACTGTCATGCTGAGTGAAATAAGCCAATCCCCCAAACCAAAGGTGGAATGTTTTCTCTGATATGTAGAAGTTAACCCATGATAAGGGTTGGGGTGGGGAGAATAGAAGTTTAGAGCATTAGTGAAAGGAAAAGGTAGGGGGTGGGGGGATAGGAATAGGAAAGACAGTAGAAAGAATCTGACATAACTTTCCTGTGGACATTTATGAGTACACCACAGTGAACCCCACCATTGGGACCCTGATTAAGATGTATTTCATGCATGTATAATTTTATCAAAATGGACTCCTCTGTCCTGTGTAACTGAACCAATTAAAAAATATATTGTTCCCTCCCCAAAAAAGACACCCAGGAGAGATGGGGGGGGGGAGAGAGAGAGAGAGAGGGAGAGGGGAAGAGAGGGGAAGAGAGGGGGAGGAATGTGATGACAGGGACCGAGACTGACAGGATTCTAGGAAACACCAAGGATGCCACTCATGGGCAGCAGCTAGGAGAGAGCCGTAGGATGGGTTCTCCCCCAGAGCCTCTGGGGCAGCGTGTCCCTGATGGATTCTGTTTTTTTTTTTTTTTTCCTGACCTCCAGAACTGTTGAAAGATTAAGGTGTTGTTGTAAGCCACCCAGTTTCTGGTAACTCATTCAGGAATGACAGGAAACTAATGTGACTTATATTGGTGATGGGGTTGGAGTTGGGGAGTGGCCCACAAGCCTAAGGAGATTCTCAAAGACATTTTTAGAAAAATCCTGTTTACAGTAATTTGTAGCTATGCTGTCGATGTGTTTTTATCTTTCTATAGAAACTCTAATCCCTTTTTATAAATATGCCAGAGGAAAGAAAAAGCCTACTTCCATTCTATTTCCCTAAAAATTGAAAAATTATGGGCAAGGGGCATGGCTCCTCAACCCATATCAGAAGCTTTCTCTGCTCCCCCTAACTTTCCTATCACCCAACAGCTCAGCTCAATGTAGAACGTGTGCATTTGTATCCTGAACCTAATTTTGCCATCTGAAGCTTCTCTGCGCTGAGGGCAAGAGGAAAACATAACCCAGGAAAAGTTGTACATTTCTTGTTCTATTATCTGTCCTACCAAAATGGAAACATTCTGAATCTTATCTCCGCTGTAACAAACTCTTGGTTCACCGGAAGCCAACTAGCTCCAAGAGATCACCTTCCTCAGTGGTGCCTCTCAGAGGTCCCGAAATATCAATTTTTAAGTCAGCCGGCACATGAGATAAATATTTTAAGGACCATTTTATTTTCATCCAGGCTAAGGGACAATTTAGAAACGTTCTATTCTAAGTACATAGCGTGAAGAGAAACGCGTGGCAAGGTTGTGGATGCCATTGTTTTGAAGCCAGCCTGTCAGTCATCATGATTGAAACATAACCCCAGTGGCTTCCACAAGTGCAATAAAATGCTTCGCAAAAGGTTGCAGAATCATAGGATGTAATAAAGTCTGCTTAGCTTCATTTCCAATGCCGCGGAGTCCTAGAGAACGAGGCCCATTTCCTTATGCCTTGGGATTTGTTTGAGTTACTTTCATGCCTGGAAATGACAGAACATAAAAACAGACATTTAGTTAGAACCAGTAGCATTTTTTTTTTGAGTCATGGCAATAAACAAAATATAAATTTGTTTACTGCTAATCTGTTGGATTGCCGTTAACATTTTATGAGAGGTCATATTTATGTGGCACATTCCATGAAATAGATAGATTCCAGGCCTGCTGGTGCCTATACTGGCTGGGTCCCCACGTTTTCTGTGTCTTCTGCCCACAGTCTATGCCGTCAAGGTCAGCGGCATGGTGTTTGAAGAATCTGTGTTGTTGATAACAAAGCTTATATACAAATGAAACCAATCCAGACCTATATTTGTTATTAGGTAAGAATGGGTTCCCCAGCAGCCATTGTCAGAATTACTTGCTGATCTTGTTAAAAACAGAACTCTGTGCCCCACATCCTGACTTAGCAGTTCTGGGGAGAAGCCCAGAAATCTGTTTTGTTTTGTTTCCCTTTTTTGATACTGGGGATGGAATCCAAGGGCTCTCAACCACTGAGACACATCCCCAGCCATTTTTCATATTTTATTGAGACACAGAGCCTCACTAAATTGCTGAGTCTGGCTTTGAATTTGCTATCCTCCTGCCTCGGCCTCCCAAGCCACTGAGATTACAGGTGTGCACCACTGCACCCAGCAGGAATCTGTGTTTTTAAACAATCTCTGCAGGGGAGTCTGAGAAGCTTAGCCCAGGGGCTTGGGGAATTATGGAACCTCCACATTGCAAGCAGAATCAGCTCTGCCTCAAGGCCAAGCAGTGTATCTTATGTATATAGGCCAGGCCTACAATAATTTCTACTCACAAAGTTAAACAGTGAGGATAAAGTCCTTTCATTTTGCAAGAAAATCAGACAATTCCTTGGTGGTATGATGGTGTACTGGCCCACACCATTTCAAAGCTCCAAACCCACCTCTCTGTTGCAGCCTTAACTTCTAGGCCTCTATTACTGGGATCACTTAATTAGGCATCGTAAGTTCCTGCCCCTGCTAGCCTCCTAGCTCACAGTGGAGTAATTACAAAAAAGAAAATAAAGTAGGAGTGGGGAGAAAGATGAAGACATTATGGGTTATATTTCATAAAATTGGGAGAAGATTGAAAGAAAAGGCACTAAGAGAATTTTGGAGCATCCACTATGCATGTGACAAATGAAGAGATTTTTGAGAAATATTGTTGAGAAGCACAAATAGATTTCCTCTTCAGAGTTTTCAAGGGATTTCAGAAAATATTTAAATTGCTTTTCACATGTTGTCTGCCATTTGTGGCCTGGCGTGCGGCACTACAGCCACAGATCTGAGAAGCTGTGGTGTGAAGACCCTGCTTGCTTCAAGGGTGTAGCTCACGGACATCCTCAACCCGGGCCCACTCAGATCCACCTTGGGGTAGACATGCACCTCTAGTACATGGAGAAAGATCCCAGTGAGCCCAGCATTAGGCTTTTCCTACAATGTAGTAACAGTGAAGAGCAGGCCATCTCTTTGAATTGCACCTAGTCCATTTGGGAATCTAGAACATAGAGGCTGGGTCATGTCTGCTTCTAAATCACACTAGGAAGGTCTTGTCTGAGCTCAGGATGTCCTCCTTTGAGGCCCGCTGGTAGCCATAGTGAGAAGTGGACCGTGGACTGTATGTAGCAGCCAGTTGGCCCCTCTGGGAGAAAGGGACCTGTCTTACTCCCATTTGACAATAGGATCATCCCTTATTGTGCCCAGTGCCACCCATCTTGCCTGGAGATACAGGTCATCTTCCGATCATTCATCATTGCCCTTGTCCTTGAACAATATTGACTTTGAGTCAGAGGCGCCTGAACAGGACTGAAAATGGATGTGCCCTTTCTATCCTTTCTATCTGCCTTGCCTGTCTACAGCAGATTTATGTCTTAGGAGAAGTTTCCCCTGGTTTTATTTTTGGTCTCCTGAAGGCTATGACCCTGCACTAGTTCCCTGTAATTTCTGAATCCAGGTGAATGCCTCTATCCATACCTGAGGAGGCTCTCTGTCAGTCTACTCACGATGCTTCTGTGACCCATCCCTCAACACAGCTTTCACATCCAAATGTCTGCCTAGCTCCTTAGAGCTCTGTCTGTGCTGTTTTGTTTGCCCATCTGGCCTGGAGGCTCATGAGAAACAGTCTTCCTTTCATGCCAGAACACACTGGAAGAACGTGTTATGCTTTGGGTGAAAAGGTGAGAGTGTGAAGTCCAGGCACCTCACTTCCTAGCTGGTCATCCCTAGGCAGGGTGAATGCATCTCGCAGGTGCTTTAGAGAGTTCAGCGACACAAGCGCTCACAGCCATGCCTGGGGCATGATAATGTCACTGTGTGTTGGCGTCTCTGGTTGTCATTATCATTATTTCTTCCAGTGTCATAGCAAGAGAAGACTTAGGACTTGGTTACACAGTGAATTATTTTGCAGCAGGGCCATGTGCTCACCTACTAGTTTGATTTCTTACACAAGGTGCCCTTCTAAATATCTGTAGTTTCCTTTAATATCAGAGTTAAAATTGAAGGGGTGCTAAATTGAAGGACATCTGGGCATCATCAATGAAAGGATTTACTGAGATGCAAATAAGGTTTCCAGGAAAGTATGAGTAGGTGAATGAGAATGGTTCTGTCCTCAGGGTGCTTCCAATCCATATCACACATAGCGCATGTAGCCAGGTGAGCAGGCAGGCCAGAACATGTGGGCCTTTCACTGTGAACGCGGGAGGTTTGATCTCTGTGAACAAACATGCTTGAGAATTTTCCATTATTTCCAAGTTCTGAATGGACATAGTGCAGATTAACTGCCCTCCTTCCCGGTCTGCCATCGACAGCAATATGCTGGGAGAATAATAGGTAACATCTTTGAATTAGAAGAAAAAAATACAATGTCTGATGAAGGAACTTCTGGCTATTTCTTTTCTTTTTTTTTTTTATTAATCTGCCACTATATCTATTTCTTTTTTTATTTAATTATTAAGGTATATTGTACAAATTCATGGGATTCACTGTGATATTTCCATACTTGCGTCCATGGGGTCCACCCTTCTTCCACACTGATCTGCCAGTCCCTCTTCTACTTTTAGATCCTTTTCTTTTTAGTTTCCACAAATATGCAAGAGAACCTGATATACCTGTGTTGGTGTCTACCTTGTTTCACTTAACAAAATGTCCATTCATTTTGCTGCAAATGGCGGAGTTTTATTCTTTGTGGCTGGGTAACACTCCATTATTACCATATTCATTCACTTGTTGATGGGCATTGATTCCATATCCTAGCTATTGTGAATGGTGCTACAGTAAACATGGGCATCAGGTATCTCTTTTGTAGGCTGATTTCATTTCTTTTGGATATATATACCCAGGAATGGGAGAGTTGGATCATATGGTCATTCTTTTTAAGGTTTTTGAAAATCCTCCGTACTGTGCTACTTTATATTCCCACCAGGAGTGTACATGGGCTCTTCTTTCTCCACATCCTCTCCAGAATTTTTTATATATTTTTTTGCAAAAGGCATTCCAATTGGTGTGAGGTGGAACCTCATGATTTTGATTTTGATTTCCCTGATGGCTGATGATTTTGAAATTTTTTTCCATATATTTATTGGCCAGTTGTATTTCTTTTGAGAAGTGTTTATTCAGTTTACTTGCCCGTTTTGAATCATTTTTTGTTGTTATGTGTTTTGAATCTTTCTGGCTATTAATCCACTGCTGATGAGTAGCTGGCAAGTGTTTACTGCCATTCTCAATTCATGCTGTTTTTTCTTGTGCTTTTGGGACCTAACCAGAAAATGCTTGCTTCTACCAGTATCTTAAAAGTGTTCCCCACTATGTTTTCCTCTAGTAATTTCAGGTCTTACATTAAGGTCTTTGATCTATTTTGAGTTGATTGTTGTTTTATAGGGTGAGATGGGGGTCAAGTTTGGATCTTCTGCATGTGGATATCCAATTTCTCCAGCATCATTTGGTGAAAAGGCTGTCATTTCTTTAAGGCATGTTTTTGGCCCTTTTAGTGGGAATCAGTTGACTTTAGTCAGTGGGCTTACTTCTGGATTCTCTATTCTGTTCCATTGGTCTACGTGTCTTTATGCCAATACCATGCTGTTTTTACTACTCTGGCTCTATGGTGTGTCTTAGCATCAGATATTATGATACCTCCGTCTTTTCTCTTTTTGTTCAAAATTGCTTTGCCTATGTGAGATTTTTAGCACTTCCATACAAATTTTGGGATTTTTTTTCCTGTGAAGAAGGTCATTGGTGTCTTGATGGGGATTGCTTGACTCTGTAGATCACTTTGAGTAGAATGGACATTTTAACAACATCAAAACAATGTTCTATGAACATGGGAGGTCTTTCCACCTTTCAGTGTCTCCTTGCATTTCTTTTTTCAGTGTTTTGTAATTTTCATGTTGGAGATCTCTTACATCCGTAGGATCATTCCTACTTTTTTTTTTTTTTAAGTGTGAATGGCTATTCCAAAAGGAATTGCTTTCTTTCTCAGCAAAGTCATTATTGGCATGTAGAAAAGCTACCGGTTTTGGTGTGTCGATACTGTATCCTGTTACTTTACTGAATTCATTTATCAATATTTAGAAGTCTTTTGGTGAAGTCCTTAGACTTTTCTATGTATAAATTCATATCATCTGCAAACAGGGATAATTTTACTTCCTCTGTTCCTATGTGTGTGCCTTTTATTTCCTTCTCTTGCCTAATTACTCTGGCTAAAATTTCTAGTACTCTATTGGATAAGAGTGGTGAGAATAGATATGCTTGTCTTGCTCCCAGTCTTGGAAGAAATGCTTTCAGCTTTTCCCCCTTCACTGTGAGGTTGGCTGTGAGTCTGTCATATATAGCCTTTATTATGTTCAGATGTGATCCTTCTATACCTAATTTATTCTGGGCTTTTATCATGAAGCCATGTTGGATTTTTTTCAAATGCTTTTGTGCATCTATTGAGATGATTGTCTGATTTTTATCTTTCATTCTATTTATGTGATGTAAATAAGTCT